TCTCCGTTTGAAAGATTCAATGCTTGGAGCACAGAAGACGTAGGATGGGATAGAGTCCCAGATCGAACACACTCTGACTGCGAATGACTGACGCTGGCATTCCAAGCGGCATTTTGAGACCACTAGTTTAAATGGATGTCCTCTAAGATGAACGTTGGGTGATAATTTCAGAGTCGGGTGACATGGATGGCTTGGGTTTTACATTACTTGGTATGCCATAATCATATCTCCTCTGACGAGTCGGTTGGCATTAGAATATAACCCCAGTGATTTCAATCTCTCTGCGTATGAACACCGATTCCACCCACTGACCATTTCGGTGGCCATCCTTTGTGGACACGCCAGCATTTTGCAATCACGTTGTAGCCATGGATTTCATGCCTAGATAGCATACTCTCTGAGTGGGCGAATGTATGCTGATAGTAGAGGATGGGAAAGCGCTGACTCAAACCGGCCAAAGACCCGCTTAAGCAAACCGACATTCTTTACAGCTGCATTGGACACCTTGGTGCAGTTGAGTAACCAGCTTAAGTTTTCTTGAATGATGATGCCCAGGTCCTTCTCACTTGCGGCGTGTAACATATATTCATTTCCGAGGAAATACGAAAATCACCCACTGCGTCGTAGAGATAGAACCTTACACTTTGGCAAATTGAATTCAATTTCGTTCATAAGGGACCATAGATGAGCGGCTTTCAACGTTTCCTGGAGTGCCAATGAGCCCGCTGGTTGCGGTACTGTATTCCAAATTTAGGCATTTTCTGCAAACAGTAATGGTTTTGGTCCCAGAGCCTTCGGTAGGTTGTTTATGAATGTTCGGAAAAGTCGTGGGCCAAGCACAGATCCTTGTGGAACCCCACGGGTAAAGTCCATAGGACTGGAAAGCGAATCAGATACGCGAACCGATATTGTTCGGTGTCGGAGAAATGCTTCGATCCAACTAAGAACGAGGCCTCGAATATCGTGATTATAGAATGTCCGCAGTAGAATGCCGTGGTTTACCCGATCGAACGCTTTTGAGAAGCCTAGATGAATAACGTCTACCGCGTCGCCGTCATCAACTGCTTTTGTCCGTTCTCGCGCGATTAGCAAATTGGTAGCGCAAGATCGATTCTGTCGGAATTCATATTGATTTGATGACAAAACGTTCTGCTTCTCTAGGTGTTCAATCAGGGAATCGATTACTATGGGCTCCATGACTTTGGACAGCACTGGAAGGAGGGTTACAGGGCGATAGTTAGCGGGATCGCTACGGCAACCACCGTTGTAAATGGGTAAAATTACTCCTTGCTTCCACGACGGTGGGATTGCAGTGTGATCGAACATCCTCTGAAATAGGAAGGCTAGTGGCCCGGCTATTTGATTTGCAAAGCAGATAAGGGTTTGGGAGTGAATATTATCTGCCCCTGGCGATGAATTCTTCCTCAAAGCCAATAGCTTTCCTTTCACTTTTTCGGTAGTGAATGGTACGTTGATTAGTGACGGATGTGGAATTCGACGCATTCAACAAGGGAGGTACAGTCGTTCGTTAGTTGACGCAGCAAGAACTTGGGCATACTGGTTCTTCAGCATTTCAGCGGCTTCCATTGCATTGGCTGTGGCTCAGTCAGAAGGACTGAGTACCAGTATTCCGTGTTTAACTTTTCGAGCTGANTCGAGCTGAGTTAACATGTTTGTACAAAAGCTTGGGTTTTGAAATTACTCTTTGTGCTAGAGATTCTTGATGGTTAAGTTTGTTTTCGCGCCTCAACTTGGTGCAGTGGTTTGGAAGCAGTCGTCAATTGATCCAGGTGCATGCATTTGGAAGTCGTTTGTACTGTTATTGATATACAACTAGAAATGCAAAGTAGAAAGCGGGTCCTGGTTGATATTATTCGTCCGGCTTTAAAATCCCCCTAATGATTAAATTGCATC